CCAAGCCCACACGTTGGGCACCGCAAGAACCTACCCATAAGTGAGGGTAGAACAACACGCTCAACTAGAGTTGCTCTTCGCGGCTCCCGTGGGGACGAGTAAAACACCCCTCACAATCACTTCTCTGGAGCATCGCACAATCTTCTTTACGTGCTTCGACGAAGACCACCACCAAGGCGTCTAGGAGGTGGCAACCTCCAAGAGTAACAAGCACCAGCAGCTTGCAATTTGATCACCTAGTGCCACTCGATGCATTCTTACAATGAAATCGCACTAGAATCGTACTCACACTCAATCGGATGATCACTATCAAGCATGTGTGAGTTAGAGGCCTCCCAAGCACACCTACACAAGCCACCAAGGCTTAAGGGTGCTCAGTCACCGGCCTAACGCCGGCTAGTGCTTGGTTTTATAGCCCCCAAGGGAATAGAGCCACTACCCCTTCACTGTGCACAAGACGCGGCGACCGGACACGCCTGTCGGGCTGGCGGACATGTTGCACACAGCGTGCGGTCACTGGATGGCCGCCACGCGTGCCTGCCTTTAAACACTGAGCGTTGATCTCCAACGGTTAGCGACGCGCGCCAACGGTCAAAAGATGACCGGACACGCCTCAGCTGAAGGATCGGACGCGCTCTCGCTAAAGTCCGATCGCGGTCCAAATCTACATCGAGAGCTCCCAGGAGCTCGAACCGAGTCCGATCGCAAGTGACCGGACGCTCCTCTACGTCCGCTCCTGTCTCGACTACACCAGCGCCGCCACATCACAGGGATCGAACCCAAGAACAGTGTTCCCGCAGAGTCCGGTCACACGCCCTCAGCAGGGTCCGGTCAAAGACCAAGCCTCGCCCTTCTCTGTAGCGACGACCGGACGCTAAGGCCAATGATTGGATGCACCATGCGCCGAGTCCGGTCAGTGTTCCAGCACAGCCCGAGGCTTAGGGTTAGGCACCGGACGCGTCCGGTCCTCCCGAGGACAGCGTCCGGTCACCCCAGTGACCTTCTTCTCGCCTCCTTTAATTTTCATCACCAAGTTGATCCGTTTCAACTTCAACTTCTTCTTCTTTGCAAATGTGCCAACACCATCAAATGTACACCACCATATGTATGTGTGTTAGCATTTTCACAATCATTTTAAGGAGTTAATCACTCAAATCACCACGCCACTCGATCCTAGCAACATCGCAAAGTTAGATCGCTCAAGTGGCACTAGATGATCGATATGCAAACAAGTTTGCATCTCTTGATAGTACAGCCATCTATCCTAAACCCGGTCATAAACTTTTCTACACACATATGACCGATGAAATAAACTGTCCTATAGGTTATACCTTTGCCTTGTGCATTATATTTCATCTCCTCCGATGTTGATGCAACACATGCACCAACCTTGATCAACAAATGATATGATCCACTTCATATCCTCACATGACCTTGTTGGTTCATCGATCTTGACCTCACTTGCTTTTCACCGTTGCCTTTGTCCATCGGCGCCAAGTCTTGGTCAAGCTTCACCGCCACGCGGTCCATCGCTCCAAAGCCTCCAACTTGCCCTTCACGCTTGCAACCGGTTCATCAAGCCAAGTCTTGTCTTGATCTTCTCCACCTTAGTCACATGACTCAATGCATGTTTCATATGCAATGAGCTCCTTCGTCACATGTATGAGCTTAGCAAAATATCCAAGCTATTTCACCTTTATGGCATAAGTTGCTCACACAAGTGTACCTGTGGACTAATCACCTGTGTATCTCACATTTAAACACATTAGTCCACCTAGGTTGTCACTCAATTACCAAAACCAAATAAGGACCTTTTAGTTGGCCAAGTACTCAACTACAAGGGAGGTTAGAGCAGAGGATAGTTTTTTTATTGGGCACAACTTGGACGCACACAACCCACACACTCCACACGCACACACACACACGTGTCCTTACACACACAAACAAGAGATTGAGAGGCTCTCTAGCCTCCAGTGCACTGAAACACGTAGTACCACCAAACGCGCACACATGCGTGTAGCCGTGTACCCTGCTTTTTCTGGAAAAAAATAGAAAGTAGGTGTGACATCAGGGTTTGAACCCTAGTGGGTAGCGTCCCATTGGACATCCCTACCACAATACCATTGGACCACAGGCCCATTCGCTAGAGCAGAGGATAGTTGAGTCCTCTTGCTCTAGTTTTTTTATTTGAAGTATGAGGGTAATGGAAGGATGCTAAACTTGATATTTTATAGGTGAATCTCCCGTGAATCAAATGAAGTATGCTGGTGTCTGGGAGAGTCGGGTGACAAGAGTCTTAATGGAGTTTTGATTGACAGTGGGTTTTATGGCTTGCTAAGGGTTGTGTTTTGTCAATTGATAACCACGAGATAAATCATCGTCTCCAATAGTTTTCACTCATTTGCCTTGCTCTTTACTTACCACATTAAAGTTCTTGCATTATGGATTGATTTGTGTGGTCTTTATCTCTCATAGATTAGCATTTAGCAGCTATGCTCCTAGGAGGGAATGGGAACATGGAACGGGAACGGGAACGTAGTACGACACTTTATAATGTTTTTTACTATGAGAACATAAATGTTTAAACGGGAACCCAAATGTTTCTGGAACGAGGAACATAGCGATGTTTCATGTTTCCGGCTGCTCAGGATTAGTATAGGCTCGTTGATACCATTGACTCTGGTTGGAAAACTCTTTTATGGGTTGTGTAGGCTAGAGCACTCTAGAAAAACATAAGGTGCACATCATACTAGTTAGTTCAAGTTTTTATAGTGTAAATCAAGTTGGGCCTAGGCATATGATTAACTAGAAGCATACCTCACGCATTGTTGATGGAATTGCAGATTAGTAGATTGTTGATGTGATGACGTGGACAACAAAATGCTTATGTATGTTGCTGACGTGGACTTTACAGTTGTATGTGCTAGTGGATTTTAGTTGTATGTGATAGTGCATTGCCTAGTTGGACAGCTTACATATTGAGATAAATTGCTAGTGGGGTTTTGCTTAGTGAATTTTATGTGATAGAGCATTGCCTAATTAGATAGCTTGCATGTTGAGATAAATAGCTAGTGGGATTTTGCTTTATAAGAGTATAAGATAAGATAAGATAAGATTTTTGAGTGACCCAATTCATCCTTCTCTCTTGGGCTCACGTGTCCCTACAACTGCTTTGGCTGAGTTTTTGGCACAAACTTCGTGTGTGCCTTTTTTTGTCCTTACAAGTTAGAACTTGGTCATATCACGGCTTTCAAACCTCAACAAATCTCTCAAGTTTCTTTTTTCTAAAAACCCTTTTAGCAACCTTAGTGAAATACTTGATTTCTTTGAGTTGGACATTTTTGGTTGATTCTTGTGCTCAATCTTAGTGTAATGACCTCTAGTGAACATATATAGTCTTGGTAAATACTCTCTCATTCTAAATTATAAGACATTTTATTTTTTGTAGATACATTATTCTCTTTTACTATGTATCTAGACATAGTGTATTATATCTGAGTACATATCAAAAGCTATGTATCTAGAAAAGCCAAAACATGTATAGTTTAGAATAGAGAGGGTAGAAGAATTTCCTTGAGCATACTGAATCCTTGATTTTGAGGTCCTTTAAAAACTCCTAGTTTGATAGAGGAAATTCAATGTTCTTGGTAAAGCCCAATTTTTTTGGCGATATCCCGTGAGAATGCCTTCACCATATTCTTGGAAAGCTATGGTTAAACATTCACGAAATTTGAAAGTCGTTTGATCGAGTTTTAGATTTTTTTTTCTCTTGTTTCAAAGGCTGAATTTTTGGTAAGGGCTGAACTTCAAATCATTTTAGAGGAACTTTAGCACTTCAACTTCTAGACCTTTTAAGCAGAAGCAGCAATTTAATTAGAAGGGACAGCAAAAAGCTTTACCACATTTTTTATTAAAAAGGAAAAAAACAAGTACAGATCTATTTTTTATAAAACCAAACCAAAGGACCATGCAACAAGGGAGTGCGACACCACACTAGCTACCTATAACTTTAGAGTTTTTTTTTTGGATAAAAGGCAAATACTTTATTAGCAGCATCTTGCTGCAATGACGGTGACGAAGTCACTGATTACAGATTGTAAGCCTGTCCTTGTAGGACAGCTGTTGACATGATGTGCATTGGTACAAATGATCTGCATTTGAGTACTAACTGAACTTGATGAGGCGAATGCCTGAGTTGCTAGAACATGAGCAGTGGTGTTCAGCTTTCGATGAACCTTGAAGATCTTTCCATTGATCTTTGACGATTGATTGATGAAGCTCTGAGTGAAGTACTTGATAATATCCCAATGTGGCTGGTGACTGTGGTCACTTCCATTAAGCTGTTGATTATCCGACAAGAATATCGGACAGTTGATACCTAGTGTCAAGGCAATCTGAGCTGCAAGAGCCAAGGCCGCAGCTTCAGCCATTAACACCGAGGTAGAGTTCTTCATAGTTATGATCGTTCAACACCAACTCTATATAACTCTTTTTTTTTTTGAGGAATAACTCTATATAACTCTTTGCTCACTGACTCAACTAACCAACTCGGTGAAAACCACCATCCAACTCAAAGAACATTAGAAAAACAGCATAGTACCTTAATGGATAACTCTTTAATTAATTAATAGTTGAAAATTATCACACCACACCTGATTGCACGCCAACAGGCAGCACCCAGGCATACTATTTTGCTCGCCTAGGCCTTGAAGTGAAGCGTTGCCTGGCGTGCATGCAAACAAATGCCCCAGGGTTCATCCAAACGAGACTCAAGGCAGCTTCCAGGCCACTGTCATTCAACCAAACAGACCCACATATTGTTCTAGACATCTTAGTCCAGCAATCAGAACCATTTCAGAATCGCAAAAGGCTTCCGTTTAGAAGCAATTAAGCATGATGGAATGAAACCGACAAAAGATTGAGTTTACAGTTACGACATCATAGAAAGATCCAAAAAAACTGTTGCATGCAATCTTTTCGGGAACTACTCTCCATCAGCTTTAGCAATAGAACATGAACTGCTGAACGTACTCCTTGACCTTGGGGAGTTGCTTCACTGGCACAGATTGATCAAACGTCCGAGTTGCCCCCGTTGATGAGCCCTGATCAGAATTGTCGTCCTCAATGTAGTAACGGGCACGGAACGCACCCAGGTGTGCGTAGTATGCCGGAGGAACTGTTACAAATACCAAAAGAAGGACAAATTTTAAGCAAAAAAAATACATGAAAATCAAGACAAATTTGACTGATGAACAAACAGTTCGTGTAATCTGTAAAATAGTCCAACTGTATTAGTGCTCACCTATAGAGACTGAACGAGTGCACCGGGCATAGCTGTGAGCAAGAAGACATCAATATGATGAAAAGGTCAACCCTTGTAAAATGGTACAATTTATGCAAATTGAGGGAACATCGTCAATGAAGCTTACGTGTAGCAAAGATTATAAGTCAAGGTTTGCAGTGCATCAGCACTGAAACCATTTTCGTCCATAAGAACATGATAATGAGCTGGGCGGCTTGTTCCCTGTCCAAGGCGGAAAAATAAATTACTACAGAATCATTATCAACATAATAATTGAGGAGAATCATAAGTAAAATTAATAAAACGACATTACGTAGTAAGGACTAGCAGACTGACAAACACAATTCATATATGCAGTATACCTGAATACCAGAATGGCTACAGAGGTAAAAATCGAACTCGCTGGGGTGGCAGATCTTCGTATCAACAACAGTTCCTGAGGACAGAGTTTAATTGAAACTTCAAAGTAGGTTCAAAACAAGAATTGATACCTAAAAATAATCATGCATATCAATATGAACTGCTGCCTAGCTATGCGACTTGCATACCAGGCAGGATGTTTCCACTCCTGTCTGTCTGGTCTCGTGCACGGTGATTTTCAGGAAACAGGCGGGTATGATGCCGCTTTTGCACAACAACGAATGTCACTCTTGGTTGGTACCCCTCCTGTAAACTTGCACATGCCTGGCAGAATTATCACAAACAACATGCATGTCAAGTAGCCATTAAATGCCAGAAATGGAAATGGCTAAAGCGGGTTAAACAGGAAAAGACCTTCCGAATTGCATCCATTTCATAAAGCAAGACTTGGCTGAACTGCCCCTCACTAACACCATCACTGCAAAAATGGAGGATCTGCTATATCAGTATCAAACAAAGATAAGTAAAATTATGAAATTATCTCTACAAACCGATAGAATATAATCCTCGAAGGCTTGTAGCCAGTTGACTTGTGGAATGACACAAGCAAATCTCTGCAATACATAAATGTCAGTACTACAATAGAAAAAAGAAAACAATGTACTAATTTGTCTTAACTAACCTAATCATTCCACCTCTAACAGTGCCCTTCTGTGGATCTCTCACTTCTGTATAAAGACCATTTATAATTTCAACCCTATGACCTTGTGAAGATACCAAGCATTTGTACTTTGTAACTTGTGGCCAGTCCATGGATGCAACGACCTAAATGGATATGAATTAGAAAATCTTTAAATCCCAAACACAGCATACATCATTGGCAGCGGAAGTATGGAAGAATTAGTAGCACAAGTATGGAAATGCCATGCATTTTTCATTTAAAACTCATGTTACTAAGATCTGTCCACAAAGAATATTTAAAAAGGAGGTAACTTTGAAACCGAATAAATTAAGAACAAGATTCTATAACTACCAACAAATGCATTCAATTAGCGGCGTGTCTGTCCAAATGAAAACTAAAAGCTAAGAGTAAGACTAAGAAAAATGTGAAACTCAGAGAGAACCCATACTGCTGCAATAGATGGAGATGAACTTTCCCCAGGAGATGGGTGGGTAACATCAGCTCCAAAGACTATTGTAGGACAATCTGTCAGAAGCGGTATTCTCCGGTTTAAAGCATCGTCAAGTACTGTGTTCCTCCCACCAACCTAATTGCAAAATGCAATGCTGTCATTATTCTTTCAACCTGATTTTAAAGTGGACAGTAACATAGCATTTAAAAAGCTTCGTCCTACCTTTACGTTGATTTTCAAGGAAAGATTTTCAAGATACTGATTTCCTCCTTTCCTTACATTCTTAGGTGCACAACACTGAGTGATTAAACCAAGCTCAGTTTCACAAAGTCGTTTTATCCTTCCTACATATCAGGTAAAATTCAAGCAATTAGAACTTTAATTTGGAAAAAAAAAGTCAAATAAAATGTCAAAGAATCTTCAGCTTGAAGATTCATTTAAACAGCTTACCATAAAAACCACTCATATCAGGCAAAATTATGATGAGTAACTCAAGTTGTTGATCTGTTAGACCTTGTTGAGCAAGCACTTGTGCAGAACGCAAATGGATACCCCTGATTTCGGCTTCTAAATTGTCTTGGTGTGCTTTCTTGATTTCTACACATGGTCTGGTACTCATTTGCTACAAAAAAATGTAAAATACTTTTAACTACAATATTTGATTTGATGGTGTGAGAAGTGCCATCTAGAGACAGCCTTACCATGCCAATGTTATTGCACATGCCAACAAGATGCTCGCAAAACATCGCAATATCATTTGGATGCAAACGAGAGGCAAAAGTTATGCATGCCCAATATTTGATAGATCCTCCATTAACCATTCTCTGAAAATTTCACCAAATATTCCAAGATAAGATACATATATATGGACTACAAATCTAATAGATCCATTGAAGTCATTACATAATTATTTCATTTGTTGACATAACTAGGGATTACACAAGTGTTGCCAACCAAATAATCAACTAAACAAAGTAACATGAATGATAGACAAAATTATGTGAAGAGAGAAGACATGGAGATTAGAAGAACAAACAAGACAAGATACCTTGTTAATCATGTTCCATTGTCCGATGGAAGGGTTGCAAACCTTCTCTCTTCCAGAGTCATGGTATTTAAGCTAAAAATATTGGTTGATTGTTAGTAGATGGTAACTAAAAAATTGATGTTCTTTCATCATACTAAAAAAAGAAGAAACACATTTACCCTTGGAGCTGGGAGCACTCGAGCATCAACCAATGTAAGTTGGTTCATCACCTTAAGGCCAAATTCTTTTGCATAAGAATCATCAGAGTTGTTCCTACTGAATACCTGAGAATGCACACAACGTATTCACTTTAAAAAAAAACGTGAATAAAGGAAATATATACACACAAGAAAAGGTACAAACTACAAAGTGAGAAGTCACAGATAGGCTTAGGGACAATATTCACCTCAAAAGTTCTACTCTCCCTCTCTGATGGTCGCTCACAGGCCAACCTCAGGATATTCCTGACTTGATTCTCATTCAGCTTACTCGAGTAGCGTTGTCCCTCAACTATGCTGCAAACCTGCATATATATAAGTATGAATGTTATAATAACATGTGAATAGATCGAGATATCTAGGAGGTTGATAAATATGTTCATGGAAATAGTTGTCCTAAAAATGCTAGAGTAATTGAATTGGCAAAGAAAAAAGCATAACAGTGAAACCTCTATAGGTAAATAGATCTGCTTGCTAGCACTGCCAGCTTGAAGGCATGGCCAGTGAGTGTATTTTAATGAGTAGTCATATTGTCGTTTGAAGTACTGCACAACTGACACCCTTGTGCCATCTTGATCAAACCTGTATACACAAAAATAAATATTTAAGGATATGATGTGATTGCATAAATGGAATGCAACAAGATATAGTAGAATAGATACGTCAAATCATTTAATGGAGCCGAGGTTAGCCCTGTAATCCTGTAGCGTATGGATATATCATGTCTATGCTTGGTTGCAACCCGGACCCCCTCAAGTGCTTTCTTCAGCTGTGATGCAAAAAAAAAAAAACACGTCGTGATATATGGTGAAATAATCATACAGACAATTAAATGAGGGTATGGTAAGATAAAGGCTATATGGTCCATACTTTTATGCGATCCTGATCAGACAAACGCCTTGAAGTATCATGGAGGTTCAGATACTCCACTGCGAAGTCAATAACAGGTTGAGCCTTGAAAAATGACGTTGCAGAAACATCTGAGAAGAAATATAAATTTCATCAGAATCAAGAGTAAAGGTTTTCAACAACAAACTTCATATCTTTAATAACACAATTATCAACATGGAGCTCATCAGATTGAAGATGTGTTATAACTCAAAATATAAAATAAAACCATATTGTTATAGTAGGCAGGAAAAAGGGAAAATATGCTATAAATTATGACTGCTACATATACTTATATCTGATCACATTGTTGATTACTTGATTTATTCAGAATTTAGATTTTTTAAAGTGTATAAAATACTTTGCATGGTTGGTAAAAGGTATCAGAATTTTAGTTGAGTTAGTAAGTTAAATCCAAATTGTTCAACTAAACTAGCTACACTTTGGAGTTCAAATACTTTGTTGTGCTTATGCACAAAGATCTTATTTTAGTGTATTTGTACAGTACAAAGACTAACATTTAGGATGATAACAAAAACTAGCCTGTGCAGCCCTAGCTATTAATAATAAAGGTATAGAAGGGACTTATTCAAATATGGGAATAATGGATTCTTTCTAATTCAGAAGCATGCGTTTTGAAAGCAATTCATGGCAAAGAGACAGGTCGATGTAAAAGTTACAATACCATCATGTGTATACACAAGAAAAAATTAATTTAGCAGAGCAAGCAATTCAAGGCAGAAAGCATTAGGTACAAGCACACAACTCTACCTATATTAAGGGACAACCCCATCTGTGTAGGGCGTAGGCTCTGGTAATAACCCCTCCAGCATTCCACACCATTTCCTAGAGGCACACCCTTTCCAAATGCTTGTGGTGAGAAAAACGATTTTGAGATCGATGTGTACCTGCCACCGGAATTGAAGTAAAGAATTAAAATCACTTCATAATTCATAAGTGTCAATGATAAATATGATGTATCATACTTCACACCCTAGATACGAAATGTTTGTGCCTGAGTGCATGGATGCATTACCTAGCAGTTGGGAATTCTCTCAAAGCAATATCCAGAGCCTGGATAGTGTTTTGTGGCAGATCCCGATTCCTGCCAGCCAAGAACATATTAAGGCTGTACATATCAATTTTTGCAGCATCCTTGATTGCCACCCTGTACTCTTTCTCGCTGCAAGTCGTCAAACGATTAATGAGCACACATAAACATATTCAAGAATGCATAGAACTTGCTTTTGGATGGTAAGGGATTCAAACACACCCCTGGCTTGCTCTCTCAGGGTCTGTTAGGTTGAGTACAAACTCTTTGGATTTGAATGGCAGTGGACCTGCCGTGAATAGGCTTTTTCTTCCATCATAAACAGGAAGCCGCCCGTCCAAGTGTTGCTTGTGCAAGCTAACGAGCTCGTTGATGATCCATCTATTTCTTGCCCGTGACACCGATTCTGGTGTGATTGCCACCTGTGAAATGAAGACATAAATATATCGATTGGACTTGTTAGAGATGCAAATTTAGATGAAAACTGTGGTTTTCTTGAAACATGTAGGGTTTTGTTGGATCACTATTTGCAAGGCGCTGAAGCTAAGAATAGCAACGAGACACAGATAGGGGTCATGTATACATACATCGTAGTGGTAGATATCCGTGTCAGCGAGCTGGACATGGACATGATTGGCGCGCACCCGGCACCTCCGCCCGACGGTTCCGTACCCCGGCCGCGCAGGGAACACCATCGCCTTGCTCGAAGCCGGAGGCAGCGTACCTGCAGGCGCCGAAAGCGCCACTTGACCGGCCGGCGCCTTCCCTTGCATCTGGGGTCCCGATGCCGGCGCGACCTGACCCGGCGGCCTCACTTGCATGGCCGGTCGCCCGGGCACAGGGCCCTGAACCGGCGCCGGTGCTGGGAGCGACGATGGGCTCGCTGCTGGTGCGACCTGACCCGACGGCCTCACTTGCATGGCCGGTCGCCCGGGCGTAGGGCCCTGAACCGGCGCCGGCGCTGGAAGCGACGACGATGGGCGCACTGCCGGTGCGACCTGACCCGGCGGCCTCACTTGCATGGCCGGTCGCCCGGGCACAGGGCCCTGAACCGGCGCCGGTGCTGGGAGCGACGATGGGCTCGCTGCCGGTGCGACCTGACCCGGCGGCCTCACTTGCATGGCCGGTCGCCCGGGCGTAGGGCCCTGAACCGGAGCCGGCGCTGGGAGCGACGACGATGGGCGCACTGCCGGTGCGACCTGACCCGGCGACCTCACTTGCATGGCCTGTCGCCCGCCGGGCGCAGGGCCCTGAACCGGCGCTGGGAGCGACGATGGGGGCACTGCCGGTGCGACCTGACCCGGCGGCTTCCCTTGTTGCATGGCAGGTCGCCCGGGCGTAGGGCCCTGAACCGGCGCCAGCGCTGGGAACGACGATGGGCTCGCTGCCGGTGCGACCTGACCCGGCGGCTTCCCTTGTTGCATGGCAGGTCGCCCGGGTGTAGGGCCCTGAACCGGCGCCAGCGCTGGGAACGACGATGGGCTCGCTGCCGGTGTGACCTGACCCGGCGGCTTCCCCTGCACGGCCGGTCGCACCGCAGGCGCCTGAAAGGACGCCGGAGACTGCCCTGGGAACGACAACGGGCTCCCTGCAGGTGCCAACTGACTGGGCGCCTTACCTTGCATTGCCGGTCTCGGCGCCGGTGCTTGTGAGGACGACAGGCCCTGGCGCGGCCCCGCCTGCGCCTCGGCCACCACCACCTTTCTCTCCACCTGGCGCCTCATCGCCTCAACCTCCGCCGGGGTCGGCACCGAGAAGGGCACCGGCACCGGCGCAGTCACCTGCTGGCCGCGCCCCTGCTGAGGCACTCCGGAGTAGCCACCACGCCCGGGCCCGGCCGCCAGATGCGGGGCCGGGGGCTGGCCATGGCCGCCTCTCTGGGCGGCACCTGGCGCCGTGGCCCCGCCGCGATCGCCACGCCCGGCCCCCCGCGCGTGTCCTCGCGGAGTCCTCCGAGGTCCGCGGCGCCCTGGCCGCGCCCTCGGCCACCACCGGCTGCGCCGCTCCCGCCTCCACGGCCTCCTCCTTGTTCGCCCCGGCCTCCGCACCGGCCCCCTCCGCCGCCGCGCGTGGACATGGCGGAAAACCCTAGAGCACGCAGAGCACAAGCCACCGAGGCAAAAAGAGGCTGTTCTGTGAGACGACGGAGACGTGGTTCGTGGTAGTTTCGCATAATAAAAGGCTGCGGTGCGGGTGGAAAGAGAGCGAAGACAAAGCGATTTCCAAGCGGCACGGGGTATAATGCCACGCCGTATATCTGACACATGGACCCCGCTAGTGGTCGGCCCCACGCGTCGGTGACCCTGAAAACATGCCGCCGGCCATCCAGCCAAATCTGAGAGAGCCAGCGACGAGGGCACGAGGCCACAGGCCCACAGCCGACAGGCCCGGCTTGGCAGCCGCCAGCCGGGCATGCGCCGTGCAGGCAGCCCCGCGGCGCTTGGAGTCCGAGCCCATGCACGGTCGTGGAGCCGAGAAAGATTAGCGGTCGCAGGAGATCTCCTGTCGGGCGAGAGATCTCAGGCTGCCGTCGTCGTCGCCTTGTCGGGTCGATTCGTCCTCTCGCATGGGCGCATGGCCTGTGGGCTGTGGCAGCCGCCTGCAGTGATTAGCCGCGTGCAGCCCGCCGCGCCGACCTTTCAAATCGTGGTCGATGCACAGTGCTCGGCTGGGTGTTTTTGGTCGATCACAAATCACGACGTGACGAAGGGCGCGTTCCGGCTGTCTAGCTTCTGGATCGGCTAGTGAAAAGAAAGAAAAAAAAATCTACCGTTTCAAAAAATGTGTGTCCCGTCGCGCGGTTGGAGAGTGCGCGACCCTGTCCTGTTCATCTCCCTCCCTCAACCACGTGTGTTAGGAGGGGGTTGTGAGCACAGTTCATCTTCCTCCCTCGACCACGCCGGCCTCTTGTCCTCGCCCCCGCCTGCGGCCACAGCCTTCTACCCCTCCCCCCTCCCGTGGCGGCGAGCTCCGGCCATGGCGCCCTACCCCGACATGGCCCGGCCGCCTCCACCGCTGCCAGGGCTCCTAGCCGCCTGGCCACTGTCCCCATCGCCTGGCTGGCCTTCATCCCCGAACCCCCTTCTATGCCCGCCGGAGATTGAGAAAAAGAGAGGGAGAGGCCAGAGAGAGAGGGCGTTGAACTTACCTGACGCCGGCGAGGTCCTCCCCGAAACCCTAACCGGCGAGTGCGGGCGCGGTCGCGAGGAAGATTGCGAGAGGGAGAGGGAGACGCACCCGAGAGGGAAAGGGTGGGCCAGCCGTGTCACGCGTCCACACTCTACGCGATGGTCGCGTATTTAACTTTCCGTTTCACCAACGCATGTGAGGGGCATGTTTCTGCTTGCTTGTGGCTTGACACGGGGGGTATGTACAGCTCACGTGGTCTAGTAGGCATCAACCCCCCCCCCCCATCTATGCGTATATATATGTACAAAATTCGGAGAAGATGGCGCTCGTAAACGATTCTAAGGTGCGTGATGTTGAGTCGCTTCGCTTCGCTCCGTGCTACTTTTACTTACCACATGAGAAAACCATGGGAATTTCATACCTTGGAGATGTACGCTTGAGGTTTTGTGACTTGGCCAACTCCTCCGGCGGGCTTAGACCGTGTAGAAAGGGGGGGCTTTAGGTCCTGGATCCAAAGCCCTCTCCCTACAAAACTTTCCTGACGATTGTGGATAATGGTTTGGTCGCTTATGAGAGAGTTGTCGATGGAGGATGGGATCAACGTGCTCTTTGTTGTAAGAGACTGGAGGCACACGATAACCAATACCACTCAGAGTGGGGAGTCGACAACTGGGTGATGATGAGGGGTTAATGAAGGAAATATATAGGCAAGCAATAGAGGGGGTAGGTGGAAATGAGCTTGCGCTCACGATGGCGGCTAAGAAGAGGGGGAGGGGGCGGGGGCGTGTCTCAGGTGGGCTAGGGTTTACCTAATAGAGTTGAATCAAAAACGATGAATCGTGATCATATGGTTAAAAATTCTAATTTTATTTTGGAAAGAAAACACAATTGAACAAAATCTAAACTATTCTCTATATAATAGTGAGCAGTAGAGGACCACGCGATAAGGCAGTTGGAGGCAGGAGCTCAAGCTCATAGTAGTGATATTGAGGGGTTTATAGTGATGTAAATCTAAAACGTTAGGTAGACATCCTACAAAATACTAATTTTACCTTGGAAATAAAATATTTTCAAACAACAAACAAATAATTTCTCTATACTAATATAGGGTAAAGAAAATACATGCCAAAATAATAAGGCAACCTTTTTCCTTCTTTCAATAGAAAAGGTGGATTTTTTCTAGAAGGAAGAAGTTGCATTACTTTACTTTTTTTTGAATCACACAGTAAACGGAGAAACTCACAACGTATGCACACTCACCCTATGAGTATCTTCAAAGACTAGGCCGACAAATCGTTGAGATTGACGAAGTCAATCATGAAAAATTCACTCCCACGAAGAGTCGAACTCATGAGGCTCCTGGAACCACTAGATTACATCCCCTTTTGCGCATTACTTTAATTTATATCTTCGATCATATCTCTATTTTTCTATCTCTATGAAATGTTTTTTCTTCTATTGTATTTTTTGCGAGACCTCCTATTGCTTCCGGAACACTTTTTCTAGTCGTGATGAGAAGTTGATCGATTTCGGTCTTGTGGCCAATGGCGGGTCATGTCGTCCTTGCTCTGAGTTTGCATTGTAGCCATATAGCATTGTACCCGTATAGAAGTTGTGCTAACATATGCGGTTGACTTCTATGTTCTGATTCTGATAACTCATCGAAATCGTAAGGCACTCACCGGTACGGAGGTCATAAATGATTTGAAAACTTAAGCTGTTCGGCGAAGCCGGCTCATGCTATTTTGTTATGAGTAGAGTTGGATAAAATACTCATGGTTCGTCAACTCGCTCGACTCGTGGCCGGCTCAGCTCGGCTCGGCTCGACTCGACTCGTTTTAACTTTTTCACGAGTTGAGCTGGAAGTCTAGCTCGCTATTTTAACGAGCCAGCTCGTGAGCTGCTCACGAGCTAAAACGAGCTGAGGCCTATCAGCCCACGACTATAAATCCAGAAGATGATGATGTTGACCTAGAAGTGTACACCTATTCTATTGGTATGCAATCCTTATTTTTAGCTGTTTCATATAAATTTTAATTTTATAATTGTTGTGGTACTTAAATGTTGATTTTATGGATTGTTTTCCAGGGAGAAGATGATGATGCTGACATTGAATTCGTGGACTTTTCTAAGTTTGTGGTGGTAAGCAACTAATTAGTATGCTGGAACTGTATGATCATGGATGGACCAGCTATGCTGTATGGTTGATACTTTTGATGAACCTGATATGTATTAATCATGTATGGTTGCATAATGGTGGACGTTGTCCTCTGATATTAATGTAGCATAAACATTATAAACATGTGTGTCCTATTTTTTTAGTAGTTCGCGAGCTAAACGAGCCAGCTTAAGCTCGATAACGAGCCGAGCCGAGTTGTCCCTCTAGCTCGTAATATTAACTAGCTGAGTCGAGCTGGCTCGTTAGCCTAACGAGACAGCTTGAGCTGGACCGAGCCGAGCCAAGCTGGCTCGATATCTAGCCCTAGTTGTGAAAGAAAAACATTGTTTCATGGCTGATAAGCTGAGCGGATAAGTTCAAGCAACAGGGCTACAACATCGGTGATAATACGCGATAGTTTGATTCTAAGTTAGTGAAAGTCGTGATAATCAGGGTGATCACCATCGATTTCAAATCAGCGGTAATAATCTATTGTCATCTTTGGCCCATATTATCGACCAATGATGATATATATTTAAAAAATAATAAAAATCGTGGTGAGCCATAAAGAAGGCCCACCAAACTTATTGAAGAAGCCAACTTAGTCCATTGACTTCGATTGCGCCAGTGGTGCTAGGAAAGCGAGTGACAAGGCCTCACACGTGGAGGATGGGTCATGGGTGTGGCTGCCCATGCTACCACCACTCTTACCTAAGCCATGCCGCCCCCTTGGCCAGGAAGGTCCACATCTCGCCCTGGCCTGGGTCGTGCCGCCATCCTTGGCCGCGATGTGCACTTGGGGACACGACCCCTGCCGTGGATCCTGCACCACCTTTGCCTCCGCAGATCCGACATGGATCCCGCTCTTCAGTGCCACACCGAAGACCTACATTGATTTCTTTTGAACTTTGTCGCTTCCTGATAACACACTATTACAAAAGCTGCAATGTAACGCCGCCTCTCTGATGTGCACAGGAACTTCGGGTTTGTGCACTTGAAAACAGATTATTTACACGATTGTTCTGAAGCTCTGGTGCACCACTATCGGTCCGGTGGCCCTAAAAATAGTGCACCCAACTTGTTTTTCAAACCATTTTCAAACATGCTAACTCCAAATTGTTTCTCACAAGACAACCTTCACCTTTAACACTTTGTTAGCATTTTCAAAGGTTTGCAACGTGATTCTAGAAACATCACTTGAAAACTATATGCAATGCAACATCGATCTCTCAAGTGGCGCTATATAAGTGTATTTGCAAACTCGATTCACTCTTCTTAATAATATGACTATCTGGCATATCAATCCAACCATTACTACTCCTCTAATCACCTCATGGACAGTGAAAAACAAAACATATGCATATACTTTTGACTTCACTTTGTCTTTCATTATTCATCTTCATTTTCACCTTGCCGAGCTTTTCCATCACATGGTTCATGCCACTCATTTTTATGGCCATACATGTAGTTCAACCTTTTTGCTTCTCATCTTCACTCTTGAGCGCTTCACCATCATGATGACCCCACCATTTTTGTAACCCTTCCCGTCTTAAATATATAAGGTGGGGTAGGGATTCATTTTCTTCTTCTTCTTCTTCTTCTGGCATTTCTTTGCCCTATTAACTCTCGAAGACTCTAACTCCCACCCATTTGTAACCTCTAATACAGATTTTGAGCCCTTTATGCCCGGGAACAAGAACAAACACCCCCAACCGAACATAGGACACGATTGCCTAAACCACTATAATCCCATAGTCTTTGAATGCAGAGCCATTTGAGCCAATGTGTGACCACAAATTTACTAGTTGACATTACGAAACATTGACACCTATATATTGCTACGAAAATCAATACTATAACAAGGCAAGAGTGTCATTGCAATATTGTCAACTGTAACTCGGGCCCCTGATATGTGTCTGGTACGTTCAAACTTGACCAACGGTCTAGACAATAGTACATCCTTAACTGACACAGGTGGGACTAAAAGTACAACCAAGACCTCCAATGTCCCATTACTTCACCAACCTCAACTCCCGCCCTATCTCTAGTTATCATCATCTCCACCCACATGATAGCAAAGTGGCATGGTAAATCACACATATGGTGACTAATGGCAGGTTACTCACA